ACTACTACCCGCGCGGGCGCGGCCGGCCGCAGGCGGAGAGGGGGCGGCGGCCAGAGGCGCGCGCGGCGCGCACCTGCAGCGAGGGGCTCAACCGCCAGCCCCGCGCGACTGCGCTGCGCCCCCCGAGGCGCGCCCTCCGCCTCGCGGCCCGGGCATGGCCGGCTCCCCGTTTAGCAGCGAGGACTTTCAGCTGTTAGTCGGAAGGCCTCCTCGCCCTGGCGCAAGCAGTGCGGTTCTGCCTGTTAACGAACGCTCAATGATTGAGCCTGGAACTTCGCGCCTCGTGTTTTTAAGGAGTGTCCAGTTACAGGTGCAGAAAGGGTATTAGACTCACTATAGCCAATTAAGTATTATCGTCCTACAACATTTAAGCAAGCAGCAGGTGGACACAGTTGATCCCGAAGACCTGTGTTATCTTCCTACAAAATTAAAGCAAGCTCAGGGAGCAGCAGTTAGCGTGGTGGCTATGTCACTGAACTCCCAAGTAGCCGACTGCGGTTCGAGTCCTGGACCTGGTGACTTAAACTCACGCAGGGCACGTGTGCATGCCCAAGATCCTGAGAAGACAATGGGGGAGAAGGGATTGTGGTGTGGCCATCACCCCTGGGGGTGATTTCTCGCTTTCTGTTTCTGTGAAGCGCATGCGCCCTGTAGCAAAAACCTCTCCCTCCCCCCCCAAAAAAAATTAAAGCAAGGTTAGTACTCTAGGCTGTTTCTACAGTTGTGTATGTTGAAAGATGAGCTATTATTGTGGTCAGTAGATGGGCTTCCTATTGTATGTGCATGACTACAGAAACAGTGTAATAAAATGTAGATACACTATATTGTGTTGATATATTACATATAAAGCTTGATATTTTCTGTTTCTTTCCTCCTATACCATGCATACAAACTGCTAATATCCTGATATATTGTGCACTAAGAGTTTTACATGCATGATCTCATTTAACCTTTATAAAAACCCAGGTGACACCACCAGTGACAATGCACTTGAATTTATACAGCTAGTGGAAACAGGAGTCGAATCAGGCCCATCTCTGTCAGAGCCTGTGGTTTTAACCACGGTATAAATGCACCGAGTTACAAGGGCCCCTGCACTACACTGGCATAAAAAAGAGATGCTGGCTCATGCTGTTCTTGGTCCTTAACATGTATAATAAATCTTGACTTTGAATTTGGTATCATTGCAATTTAAATGTTCTAAGATAACATGCTTAACTGACTAGTGAGTCTAATCTCCTGTTGAACAGTCTCAGATTAAGGGATGTTTGCATTCGGTGCACAGTGTGTGATTATTGGCTAGAGGTCAAGATCATTCGGGATTTTTCTCATTGCTTCCCT